ACAGTTACTCAAAACTAGTTCTATTCAAAAGCCTTCCCTCCTTGTCAGTATGCTAAACCTTTATAGATCTGGATGAACTTTTCCACGTGGGGGAAACAAATTCTGAAAAACTCCTGATGCAAGGATTCATCTGTTTCAGCTATGGAGCCAGAAATACATTTTGTCCCCAAAGAATTTGAGCTGCCTTTACGCTGTCATCCTTGTGTAACAACAGGGACAAGAGGCAGGAGCCGTCTTTCTCGAGCCCCGTTTTTTGCGGGAGGTTTGGTGGAGAGGGACTTGGACAGCGCTGGAACGCGACTGGAGCCGGTGCTGATCTCTCACAGGCAGGCACTCCCGCTGCTAGGGTGAGGAGGCAGATCAGATACCCCTGTTCCGAGCGGGCAGCACCATGGCCCCAGCAGCAGCACAAGGGCTGCACACACTGATACAGAACAGCCGCCGGCTACAGGCGAGCCAGAGCCGTCCCGCAGCCAAAGCCCCGTGCGCGCTGCTGGTGTCACCAGGGCCACACAGAGCAGCAACGCGCCGAGCCCGCCACTGCCCCTACGGGACAGCGCCCGCCAGCGGGGCCCCGGCCCAAGCGCACACCGCGGCCTTCCCCGGCGGCCCGGGGCTCACGGGCTACAGACGGGCCCTGCGGCTCCCGCGTGGAGCCGTCACTCGGCTCCACCCCGGCCGGGCGGGCAGCCGCCGCTGGGGGTTGGCGGGCACTGAGGGGCGGAGGGCGCGCGGAGCGGGGACCCCCAGAGGAGCGGGCCGGGCCGGGCCGGGCCCCGGGGCGGCATGAGGGAGAGGGAGGGGAAGGAGCGGGGACACGCGCGCGCGGACGGGCACTCACGCGGGCACCGGCGCGCGCCGGGGTTTTGCTTTTTGCTGCCGCCGCCGCCTTTCGCGCCCGCGCGCCGCCGCCAATCCCGGCCCTCGGCGGAAGCGGCGGCCCCGGCCAATGGCGGCGCCGGGCGGGGAAGGGCGCGCTGCCATTGGCTGGAGCGGCGGGGCCCGCGCGCAGCGGCGCGGGGCGCGGCCTGTGCCGCCGGGACTGCCCCGCGCGGGACTGCCCCGCCCGCCGCGCTCCGGGCCCCACGGTGGTGTTCGTCCCTTAGACTTCGTGTCCTACGTGTGGTTGTTGCGAAACAGCCCAAGCCCCCGGTAAATTCTTGCGCTATAAATCTAGTCAAACGTCCCAGAGGCCAAGGAATGGCTCCACCTACGCCATTGTAACGGGGGAACGGCTTGGCTTGCAGCTCTGCCGTACTGCCTGAATACACAACAAAAAGGATCGCACAGAATTCAACATTAAATTTCCGTCTTGGCTCCGGTCAGGGCTGTAGCTGCTGTCCAGCAATGAGTAGGATTTGGAAGAACTATTGAAACTATTCAGTGTAAGGTTACCTGATGTTTGGAGTAGTTGGATTTTATTGAAACTAATGCAGTTGTATGCTTGTAAATGAAATAATTTAGCACTTCTTGTCTATTACCCATTTTTGGTCAATATTTCTTCTTTTTTTAAAGACAAAATAATATTACTGTTGTTGAAGAGTAGCTCCACTGCACTTGATAATGCATAAATCTCTTGTTCACTAGAATATGAACCAAAATAATCTTGTTTATTGAATATTTCAGGCAGAGATCTGTAAACGCAGCCCTTGGTAAATAACAGCTAAGCCTGGGGTTGTCAAAGTTTGCAAGGGTTCTAGCTTGGCTTTACCTGCTATAAAGCTGTACTTGGGTTAACAAATCGTCAAATGCAGAAACAGGGTCTACCACTTTTGTTAAGTTGTGCTTCCTATTATACATTTTAGAAGGAGGACGTTGAGATGAGTTGCTGAGCTGCTTTGTTGGTTTTAGCAGGTTTTGGTTTGATGTGTGGGTTCTTCTTTTCTAAGAGTTGTTCTCATTTGCACTTTCTGTTTAGGGCTCTAAGAAGTCAGTACTGCACCTTGAGATTTAGTGAAGTGTGCCAGCTCAATAATTTCAGTTAAGTGTGACTGTATTTAAAAGCAGATTATACCAAACATTAATAAAATGAGGTATAATGACAAAATAAAGGAGGCCAAATTCTGTTTGTTCTTATATCCACTTACAGAAGTTCAGAGGGCATCATAAGCTTTCATGAGTGCAGGTTTGTCCTAGTGCTAATGACAAGCAACATCATTCTAAATTAACCTCTTGGGACAATCTTACCTACAGCCATTTCTGAATACTGTTGAACCAGGAATTCTATTTGCCAGTTAATACTTGCAAAATAGCTGCTGATTATTTACAGGTTGCATACTTAGCTCTGCTGCCTCCTGGCCAGGTCAAAGTTTAATCCAACTTCCTTGGCCTCCCTGCCTTGGAGTTGCCCTCATGTGGAATACCAAATCACCTCCCTTTCTGTACAGCTCCTGTTATAGGCACTTCTCTGTCAGTCATACTCGGACCAGCTTCCTCCTCATCACTTCAGTTGCACTTTCACACAGCAAGAAATCTGCTTTCTTTATATCTTCTTATCAAGACCCTGTCTAGCTGTGGTTTCTTTCCCTGCAATGTCTCAATTTATCTTGGTTTCAACACCTAAAATTATTTTCATTTAGACCCAGGTAATTTATCTAGCTTGATCATTAGCTCCTCTCAATTTTCTCCTTTCTTATTGATTCAAATATGTTGTGCTCTCTCATGTCATCCTTCTAGTGATTCTGGTTCTCTATCATATCAAAATGTTTTTTTTGTTCCCATGAGCATAACTGGCCTTTATACTATAATCTCATACTGTTTCTTAATTTATTGCTCCACTCTTTTTAGCCTACCAGAAATTCCAGCCTTGATGCTTGCCTTCATTTATGTCTTTTTACCTTCTTCTTTCTCCTCTGTTTAAGGAGGAAGTTAAGTCAAATTGGATATTACTCTTCTTATATCTTCTCAAAAGTTACCTCTTAATCAATTTTTTTCTCCATGTACATCTTCACAGGAGAGAAATCAATTATATGTGCCATTTCCACTCTTATTTTCTCAGTACTTGCTTAAGTACCTTATTTAGCTTATTTTGCTCTATTTTGATTGATTATAGAAAAAGTAAAGCTTCTGCTCTGCATCTGCACAGCTTCTGTGCCTTTGCTGTAACATCAGACACTCTCTTTGCTGTTGGCTTGGATAAGCAGAAACTCCTTGTTCACTCGTGGGGCAGAGAAGGCTCCATCTTCTCATTCAACACTGAGCATCCAGCTCCAACCCTGCACCACAGCAGGAACTGCTCAGAAGGAAAGAGAAGAAATTGCATCAACTAAAAATGACAAAGTAGCACATCTAATGCTCTGTGAGCCAAACTGCTGCACTGCCTTCTCTTGTGGCTTTATCTCTAGGTTGGAAATGAAGGATGAGAAGCCAAATGACAAGCCAGGCCCATGCAGAATGTCCCCTCTGGCTGACAAGCAGTCGCCAAAACCCACATCTGGGAGCTCGCCAAGAAAGGATCCAAACATTGCTGTGTGATTGCATCCACTGCTGCCAGAATCTGCTGCTGAATCAAACTTTTCCTGTCTGCCGACAGGCCTAAAGGAATCTGTGCTGACACTAGAGCACATCTATTAACCACTTGCTAGGTCGATTAAACTAGAAGCCTCCCTGTTTGTGCCATCCTCCAGCCTTAGAAACACAATAAGCAAGATCCGGGAAGGTAATTGATGAATTGTATCCAGCACAAACAGAGGCAGGAGATCCTTAACATCCCCTTGCTGCCAAGAATATCTGTTCATAAATTAGAAACTTAGAATTCGAAGTCAGAAGCTATTTAGAAATAAGCAAATAAAAGCAGTTGTTGCCCTGTCAGTATTAGAAGTATACATTTATAAATATAGACAAAATTCAATTTTAATGACAGTAAAAACTGTTAAATGTACTATTCAGTTTTCATTAGCCTAAATGGCACGTGCTTTCCTACTTCTAATTACTCTTTGTTAGCAATATGAGTCTATGGCAAAAGTTTGCTCTCTTTGGCACCAGGTTGAGACACATATCTTCATGCTATTGTGCCCTTTAGGAATACTGTCAAATTCAATTATTCAGGACTCATGAGTCTTGCACTAACATGAAGAGATTGATTTGAAAACCATGGGACTAAAGTCCTTTTTTCTGTTTTTCAATTTCCATTTCTTAACCAGGAAAACTGAGATTGCCAGCTTTGCTCTCACATGCAGATGAGTGCAGCCCTAGAGTAATACACTCAGATGCGCCAGTGACTGTCTCTGCCAGCATTTTCTGATCAGCTATATCTGAAATATCAGGAATTGTTATGGTGTCAGAAAACATACCAAAATAACAGTCTCTACAGCCTATTTAAATGCAGTTAAAAATAGATATAAAAATTACTTCAGGTAAAGACAGAGGAATTTTATAAACTGGGTTTCATTCAAAGTATGTTTTAATAAAATCTATTGATATATACCTAATAAGGAATGTAGGCTCTCCTACACATTGGAAAAGTTGAAAAAGGCCAGGCTGAGTAAGCTGATGAATTTGCTGTAGCACAAAGGATTTTTTTTTTTTTTTTGCCTGTAGCAAACCTTGACTTGCAGGCAGAGCACAGCTGTTAATGGTAACAATTTTTACCTGTATGTGTAAAGTGCATGGCCCACTGGTGTGTACAGTTCTGATGCTCACATTGCAAGATGGATACTGAAAAAACAAAGTGAGTATAGAGAAGAGCTAGAGAATGATCAGGAGTCAGAGAAAATGTCATGTAATTGAAGAACTAAAAACCTTAACTTACCCAATGAATCAAAAAGATTGAAAGGTGAGTTGATAACTGTATACATAAATGCACAAAAAGAATGTTGAATGTAAGGGACATTTGAACCTACCAGACTGAAATAAGAAGTAATAATGTCTAGTAACTGGAATCAAGCAAAATAAATAATTTTCAGCATCTAGTTCAGTACTGACAATAAGTATTCCTTGGACTAGTTAAGGGCCATCATTGATTACTTGGCTTTGGGTGTCTTCAGATTGAGACCCAATGCCTCCCTGGCAAACACAGGCTAGCCAAACACAGGCTGTGTTGTGTTTGAGTATAGCAGCTTTAGTTCAGGGTTTAATACACTTCCCTGTAATTTACAGATCACATTATATACTCCCATAGTCTCCTTTAGCCTTTATAAATAAATTTCTGTACTTTGTAAACTCTCCAAAACATCTATAAATGATTATTTTCCTCCTACCACCCCAAGTTAACTTTACTTTCCATGTGTGCTTTATCTGTATATGACTATTTTGTCCCACTTGCACAGCACTGTGGCTGGGAAAATATCACTGACAGATTGAGGAGGCACTCACTCCTTGTCTCAGCTGCTGAGACTGCACCTCTCTGAGAAGTCTCTTTTGTAGTGTCATGGCCCTCACTTTTATTTGACCTCTAGGAGAATGTGCTTCCTCCAGTTCAGCTCTCTCTATAGCTGGTCTAGGTTGTGCTTCAAAGATTTTTCAACCTTTAAAAGAAAACAAAATCAAAGCTTTCCTCAGCAGCAACAGTCCACTTGAAGCCATTCAGGTGTTCTTATAATTGCAGCAGCTTCTGTAATTGCTTACACCTAACAGGAATATTTGTCTTGGCCAAACTGGTACCTGTGTAACTAAGAGCAAATCTGACATCCTATGTGTATTAACTGTGTGGTTTTCCTTTTCTCATGTTGTATATTGTCTCTTTGAATGTAGAGCTACAATTTTCTTTGTTGTTCTTTATATTTTATCAACACACAAGTATTTCTTCATGGTTAAATAAGAGATTCTGGTCTCCTAGTAGATATGTAGATAACACTGTGTTTTTGCTCTAGTAGCTGACATAAGGCTGAATGTGGTAACCTCACTTACTGAATGATTGTGTTGTCATTAGGAATACTCACACATGTAAAATGAGTAGAACTTGGCCCTTTGGTCATATTTTTGTAATAAAAGATAAAATGAGATTTTTAGGAAACTGCAACTTATGACCATAATATTTATGAGGCTGTCAAGACTGCACTGTAAAAATTCATATTATTTAATTCTTCACTCTGACACTAAAGTATCATTTCATTTATATGCAAATAGGAATATGCAGTTTCTTCACTGAAGAAGCTGTTTGAATTATTCAGATTTTATTAATAAAGCTTCATAAATAAGTATTTTTTCTACTCAATTGCTAGTGGCCAAGGGAGAGAATCTATTTATCAGACTTTGTTATTAGGAGCTTCATAACAAAATATGAAGATTTATGGAGTACATAATTAGATATTATGTGATTCTAATGGAAACACTGGGTTATCCAGATGAAATACTGTTTTCTTTATTCATTTCTCCTTTGCAGAGGCACTTTCTAGAAAATGGACAAAACTTGTCCCCATCACTAGGTTTCAAGAAATGCCGATGAAAGGCAGAAAATTTAATACCTTTTTTTTAACATACACACTGAAACAATTTTAAGTAAAAGAAGGTGCCTAAGGAAGACTATAAAGAATACCAGGGAGAAGCAGGTGGAGAAAATGCCTCCTCTGGGCAGAGGTGCTGGGTTGTGTGCTGCTGTTAGCAGCACGTGCTAGGTAGATAAGTGAGTTTGTGAGTGTGTATAAATGGGCAGGATCCTGATTTAGATAACCCAACCACAGAGGCAAAGGATATTCTGAAAATTTTAAACTCTGCATAGTCACTGTGGATATAATTATGGTCAGAACAAAACTTAATAATGTACATTAATTCCAGCCCTTTAACACGTGACCAGGTGTTTTGAATGAGAAAATTCCTAAAAAAATATACACTTTTCATGCTAGCTTGTATAACCACTTATTTTATTTCTATAGCATTGAATAAGACCTGAAAACACTATGCCTAAAGTAGTTATTGCATTAATTTTTGAGTAATAACTATATAACTTTCTGGAGTTTAATTAAAAAGAAAAATCTCAATACAGTAATGATGAGCCTGGTCAGCCCCACCTGGGGCCTCTCCCCACCCTGCCCACCTCCCTATTTCAGCCCAGCCTGGGCTCACTGCCTTGGGTTTTGGTGATGTTCAGTCCTTCTCTTTTGCTCCCTCCAGCCCTGCTTTGTTGTGGGCTGATGTCCTGGGCTGTCCCTGTGCCCAGGGAGGTGACAGAGGGCTGTGGGGGTATCTCTTCCCTGCCCTACTCAGGTCCTCCCCACACTGGGGATCCCTCCCAGCATTCCAAGATTATACTATGCCTAG